AAAAAAAAAAAAGAAAAGAAAAAAGAAAATGAGCCACGTGGGCGACCTGAAGCCAAAGTGGATAATGATGAGCTGAAAGCTGTAGTGGAAGTGAATCCATTTCAACCTACTCATGAATTTGCAGCAAGGTTTGACATTACTATTCCAACAATATTGGACCACTGGAAACAAATTGATAAGGTAAAGAAGCTGGGTAGATGAGTTCCATATGAATTAAATAAGCGTCAGAAGAGAAATCATCTGGAAGCTTGCCTTTCTTTGCTGTTAACACATAAAGGCAAACTATTTCTACACTATATTGTTATGTGTGAGGAAAAATGGATTCTTTTTGAAAGTCACAAGCATTCAGCACAATGGTTGGATAAAAATAAAGTGCTGGAACACAAGCCAAAACCAAATATTCATCAGAAAAAGCTAATGGTGTCTATTTGGTGGTCCAGCGCTGGTATTATCCACTACAGCTTCATGAAACCTGGTCAGTTGATTACAGCGGATGTATACCGCAATCAATTGGATGAAACCATGAGGATGCTTGCCATTAAACAGCAGAAATTGGTAAATAGAGACAGGCCAATCTTCTTGCAAGACAAGCTTGACCACATGCCGCACAAACAACACTGCTCAAACCACAGCAGTTGGACTTGCAAACTCTCTGTCATGCACCATATTCACCAGACCTTGCACCAACTGACTACCACTTCTTCCAGGCTTTGGACCACTTCTTGCAAGGAAAAGTATTCAATTCTCAACAATCTGTGGAAAAGGCCTTTCGCCATTTCATCACCACTCGCTCTCCAGGCTTCTTCGTTGCGGGCGTAAACAAGCTACCGTTAAAATGGCAAAACTGTGTAAGCGTATACTTTGATTAATTTTACTGCTTCTTGTTTGAGATATAATAAACTACACTTTTGATTCAAAATTGGACATTTCATATTTAATGACCTGCTTTACAGATGGAGAAATGATGAGCCAGACAGAAAGTGACTGAGCCAGGATTCCACTGAGGCAATCTGATGCACTAATCTGCAATCCTACTTCTTTAACATATTGCTCTGAAATCTAAAATTTCAAGACATGAAATCTGAAAGCAACAAGTAAAATAACGGGTGCACTCTAATCCATCAAAGGAAATTTCTGAAAGTATGTCAAAATATCAAGATTATAAACAGAAAGTAAATTACTTAGACTACCAATAGGCCGAATTGAGGCATGGGAGGGTGGAGTTGAAAGGGAGTATATATCCCTAATATTAATGACAAAATGGACAAGACCCAGAGTATCAGACTGGTTCTGAGTCAAGAAATCGCTCAAGTCATCACTAAAGTTTCTCTCTCAGTGAGAAGTCATGGATCTACCCTGAGGATCTAAGGGCCAATATTACTTTCTTGTAGCTGATGATTACTGTGCAGTTTATAATGTTCTTTTTGTATATGCCATTATATTCACTCCCCTTAATTTTTATTATAGATACGATGAACCCCATTCTACAGATTTAAAGGTCAAGCTCAAAGATTTAGCCCACTACAAAGTAGAAAACGGGGATTTAAAGCGATGACTGAAGATTCAATTCTATACCGCCATTCAGTAGCTTTTGCGTCCTCATTTTCAATACATTTCCCCCAGGCATTTTTTTTTAATTGTTTCCAGCAGGGAGTCAGACCTGTCTTCTTTATCTGATGAGATATCATTTATTTTTCTCTCTAAGTCTTTATCTAATACAGAGATTTTGATTGACCTTCCATCCTGAGAGGTGGAGGTCTCCTCACAGATACATCTTGGCATGCAGAGGTCTCTTCCTCTCTCCTTGACAGATGTATTTCTCTTGGATAATGTAGAGAGATGCAGCTTGTCTTCCCAGGCAGCGTTTCAGAAGGCATCAGCACTTACGCCCTCATGGATTAAAGTGACATCATGAATTAAAATTTGGGGGCCATAATTCATTAAAAATGTTTTCATCTCTGCAGTTTCAGAAACATAATCTGAAGGGTCTATACTCCTTCCCATCATGCCACACACACAGTAAACATTGATTAACCATGCTCCAAAATGTGAATCAGCAATGGGAGAGGAGTTTTTCAATTGACAGAACACTTCTTTCCTTTAACAGGAATTCCAGTGGGCAAAATACTTCTTTCCATTAACTTTTGTTACATAGACTGCTTTCTATTTTTTTCTCCCTCCAATGTATAAAAAACAAAGTGCTCATTGCAAGAGATTGTGAAATGAACATTGAGAATTGAGCCCGTTGTAGAGATGTTTCATACAGATAATTCTGTCTCCCAGAAAAGAGCAGTCTTTGATGCTGCTTGGAATGGCAGGGATGGGCATTTAAAGTCTTTATCTCCTGGGCAATTCTACACTAACATTGAGGCAATGTTACTCTTATCTCCTGTTCCCATTAGTCATTGAAAATTCAAGGTGTTCTACTGGGAATATATAGAATATCTGAGAGATTACAGCTTTGTTTATGTTGATATCTTTTCAACCATGTCTTCTTCAAACTACTCAATACTATCTCTTGCTAGAGAAATGGTAAACATTAAATTCTTACCACTTAGATACATTGTGGGGATTAGTTTGAATGGTGAATGATACATATCGTTTTTATCTTCTCTTAGATATCCATTTCTAAGTCATGACTCCACATTTGTGTATTGTACTGAAGACCAGACTGGACTGGTATATGGAATAGAAGGAGGGAAATGAGTTGGTAGGCAGAGGAATTTGCAGGTCCTTCTCAGGCTATAATCCGTTACCTTTTATGTGTCTTACCCCAGGTTACATCTTTTGCATCTGCCTAGGCCAAGGTCCCTAGACTCCAGACATAAGAAAATGTTCAACAGCAGTCAATTCACCCCAAAGTATTTTCTGCTGACTGGTCTCCCTGGTCTGGAGGCACTGTACCCCTGGTTCATCTTTCCATTCTGCTCCATATATCTTGTAGCCCTTGTGGGCAATAGCCTCATCCTGGCTGTGATCAAGAAAAACATCTCTCTGCACCAGCCGATGTACCTGTTCCTTGCTATGTTGGCCTTTGCAGAGCTTGGTGTCTCTGTGTCTACACTGCCCACTGTGCTGGGCATCTTCCTTTTTGGTGCCAAGCAGATCTTCTTTGAAGCCTGCCTTTTGCAGATGTTCTCCATACATTCATTTTCCATCATGGAGTCAGGGGTTCTGCTGGCCATGTCTGTGGATCGCTTTGTGGCCATCTACAGTCCACTGCAGTACACTGCCATCCTGACCCTGCCCCGCATTGCTGGTACAGGTGCTGCTCTTGGACTGAAGAGTGTGATGCTCATGTTCCCACTGCCCTTTCTCCTGCAGCGTCTGCCCTTCTGTGGCCACAACACCCTCTCTCACTCCTATTGTCTGCACTCAGATCTGATCCAGCTGCCCTGTGGGGACACTCGTCCCAATAGCATACTGGGGCTGTGCATCGTCACTTCCACCTTTGGGCTGGACTCACTGCTCATCGTCGTCTCTTATGTGCTGATCCTCTACACAGTGCTGGGCATTACCTCTGGCGAGGGTCGGCGGAAGGCACTCAACACGTGTATGTCACATATCTGTGCAGTCCTCGTGTACTATGTGCCCATGATCAGCGTAGCGCTGGTGCATCGCTTCATGAAGCATGTTGCACCTGCTGTCCGCCTACTCCTGGCCAATGTCTATCTTCTGGTGCCACCTGTGCTCAATCCCATCATCTACAGTGTTAAGACCAAGCAGATTCACCAGGCGTTGATCCAACTCTTTCTTAAAAGAAAATATTAATAGAGTTAGGGCCAATGATATAGTGTCCCTCTAACCAGTCAGTTTCACCACCAAAGACAGTCTGGGAGGGAGTGCTCACCACCTCGTCAAAGTCAGAAAGTGTGAAAATGCTGCATGTTGATTAGTGTGTGGGGAGCACACTTTTTCATACAGTACAGGTAGTAATCTAAATTACTATAGTATGTTTTTTTTGGTATACATTCTTTTAATGCAGAAAGTCCAATCCTTAGCACTGTTGTAGATTAAATACGCTGATGTTTACTAATGGTCATAGTGACATGAATAAGAATTTTCACTTTAGCAATGTTTAAAATAGAGTTTTTTAAAAAGTAACTGGCCATTAATAGGTAAATACTTAAATGAACTAAAGTTTATCCATACTATGGAATATTCTGCAGTGGAGAACAACAACAAAAAGACACAGATTGATAGGTGTTCAAAGCTTAAGCAAGAAACAGCAAATTATTCAATTATATAAATGAATTA